ACGAGCTGTTGACGTAATGATGGCGCAAGCAAAGAGAATTTACACTTTGATAATCAAAGTTAACAAGTTGTTTTCCTTATTTTTGTCGTGGTGTTTTCTAAAAGAAATAGAAAACATGGTCTCCGTGTTTCTACTGAGTTATAGAAACAGTCGTGAAAGTCTGGGAGAACTCAAAAAAGCTGTGGAAACACGAATTACGGGAAACACTCGCCTGTAGCTTGTGTTCCCACAGGATTTCTCATTCTCCCAAACTTCCACTTGTGTTTCTATAACTCAATAGAAACATGGTACATGTTTCCTATTTCTTAAATATACAGATTTAAGTTTAACTTTAAACCTCCTAGTAAGTTTATAGTTTTTTACTGTTTTTAGGAGTATCCAATAAACCAATTTCAATATATTAAAATTCGGACTAACACAATAGACCTCAGCACGAGACCCTGGGGAATAAACCCCACAAACTCTGTAGTTATTCCCCAGAGCCTCATGCTGAGGTCTACTTCTTTTAGACTGAATTTTAATATATCGAAATTGTTGTATTAAAGCATTACAGTATTAAAAACGGCCACGTTGGAGACAGATGAAAGTGGCTGTTATAGAGAGGTGGTCGTAATGGGGAGGTAGGGCTGTAATATGACAGCAGGTTTTCTGGGGGATACAATATTTTTATATGTATAAAATGCTTACTGCAGCATAGAAATACCTAAGACAGTCAAAATGTATCAATAATACAGAAACAAAACAGAAACAGAGACGAACAATGCACGTTATGGATCAAGTTTCGTGACCTTTTATAATATAACATGGGGTATGATTAACACCATTTCTCAGTCATTGATTATGTGGTCATTGTGCAGAGGTTATTTTAGTAGTTCAGGACACACTTTAGTGTCTGTTGCCATTGTGGAGAGGTGGCCATCATAGAGAGGTTTAAAGAGGGAGGTGAATGGGTTTTTGGATCGACTTATTTGGCCTTAAAAAGCACACAGATTGTGGATTTTTGCAGTAAATCGAGCAGATTCGCGGATTTTGAAAACATGGTGGATCACGGATCAGCTGTGAATTTTAGCGCGGATTCCAGATTGTGCCTGTCTTGATGTTCAGATCTTGGGTTCTAAAGGAAATTTGGATCAGAGATCTTTCTTCAGCCTTGGTCGGTATGTTAATGAGTTCATCTAAATTATTTCTTTTTTTTAACAAAGCTCATTTAAATTAGGTGTGAGAATGTTATTGGAATTGTGCTGTGTGAAAGTCATCAAGCATGTTGCCTTCTTTACTATTTGGGCATAATGGCATTTACATTCACATTTACCAGTTTACCTTTGAACTTTTACACTTCTGTTTCCTGATGTGGTTGTGGTTTTGAATTTGTACTAAAATATTGGCTGATCGACGGATTTGGCAGAAAAAGGTACGGATCAGTGGATTTCCATACCTCTATTCACCCCCCTCTTAAAATAAGAGTAAATGTACGGACCGTCTGCTGGGGCAAAAAAGTTTGCCATTTTAGAGAGGTGACCTTTGTAGAGAGGTGGCCATTAGTAAAGGTTGGACTGTAGTCAGGAATTAATCGGGAAAATAGAGTGGCAAAGTATCAGCTCTGCAGCATGCCCTATGGAGGACACTGTTCCATTTTGTGAGTTAGTTTAGAGATGTAAACCAAGTTTAAAGGTTAAGGACTAAACTAAACATATTGCAGCTGTCCCAGACTGTCATGACTAGCAATCACACAATGCAAGACCTGCATTGTGTACTATTTGCTTCTATTAAAGTCTCGTATGTACCAATATCTTTCGTGGTCTCCATATGCATCATTGGGGCAAGCTGTAATGTGACGGTGCTCACCTTGAACCATCTGACCTTTCTTTTATACTCCATTTGTTCATTTCCCAGCATTTTTTGTGAATTGGGCTGTTGTATAATTTAATATTAACAGATTGTGGCAATCAAATTATTTCATTGGTTAATTGGGAGGGTCTACTATTCTCTAGCGGTTTAGTGATTTAAGCCAATTTTGAGTGCCAGTTTGTGGGTATGTTCACAATTATCTGACGGTTTTCAGTTAAGAAATTATCACATGGTAGCCTGAAATCATGAATTAAGCTCACTGTTTTTGTTTTTTGGTTGTTTTTGCGGCGGTCATTTAAACAGAGAGCCGTCAAAACTTTTACACTTCGCTATAAACATCTTGTACAATCTTGTTTTTGTGAACAGCCCGTTAGACCTCAAAACGTTTTGTTCACTGGTTCCTAGCTTGCAGAACTAGTGGATTAGTGGGCTCTAGCGTGATAGATGAGTGCGCACTCGAAGCGCGAGGCAAGAAAAATCCGCCTGTAGTCACACCATTGTTTATACTCTACCGCCCCCTTCAAATGAATGAGAGAAAACAAAACAATTCAATTTATTGGCGCCAAAAAAGTGTCTCAAGTGACCAATTCACAAATGTATACTTGACACAAACCAGTCAACAGACATGAACATCTAAATTTAGCTAAATTTAAATCATGTGGTACCAGAATGTACAAACGAGGTATAAACCTAAACATCGAGCTCAAGAGATGAAAAGCTCGAGCAAATTCAGGATGCAAGAAACATAACATTGACAACACAGAACGGATCTCTAAGATTCTTGAAGTAACACTACAGCAGAATCTGGCAACTCCGGACAAAGCTAGATATGATCCGTTGCAAAAAGCCACATAACACAGTTTCAATCTAACAACCACATAACAACCGGGCCTGGCATCACAATATAGAATGCAAATAATCAACAGTGATGATCACCCACTTTGTCCCTCCAGAGCGAATAATTAAAGAGATACAACATACATTTCTGCGACAGAAATGAGGCAAGACAAACCACACTTAACTAGCGATCGGCGCTTGGCAAATTACAGAGGTGTCAAACTCTTACAAAGCGATAGATAACAGCTGAAACTATGCAGAGCTCTAACCTCTAACAGTCCGACGGCTGTACTCCACTTTTGAAAAAGTCATCCTGATAACACAAAAACATCAAGTGCCCTTCAGAAACAAGTGAGGAGCCAAATAAAAGGTTGAGAGGCTCTAATTTATAAGAGAACGGCAAATGTAGAAATGCCACTAGCCATAGGAGTCTGTGTAGGCCTGTCACCCGAATTAAACACATTTTGTTTTTTCTCGCATCTGACGTCATGTGGCTTAAAGCAACCAATTAGCGAAAACCATTTGCCAGGCGAATGGTTGGAAGAGCATAAACAATGGCGTGACTGCAGACGCATTGTTTTGTCCTTGTGCTGCGCGTGCACTCATCTATAGTGCTAGAGCCCATTAATCCGCCTGTTCTGCAGGCTAACTGGTTCCTAAATGGAGTTAGAAATAATTTGCTGTGAGGAGAAATACAATTATTGAGCTTTTAAGGAAACAACCAATTTTTTAAGTTTGAAAGACATGTTTCGACAGAACTTCTGTCATCTTCAGTTGAATGAATGATTACAAAGCAAGTTGAATAATAAGTAGGCAAAAATGCTAATTAAGACAAATAGTAACAACAGAACGTGAAAAGGTGTAAATTAAAAGGATAATTTTAGATTTACATGGTGTAATTGCTGATTGAGCTATCACAAAAATTGTAGAGAATTTGTTACTAACTGTTAAAAGATTGGCTGTGATAGTCATCCTACTAGTAGGGAGGTTTTGTTTTTTAGGAGAAAATGAAAGCAGTCTGTGGTTTCAAGGGAGCAAAATATGGTGGTTTGCAGAATGTATGACCCCCTATAATTGCTGGTTTGCACTGTCACTCGATCAAAAATAAATATCGTAACCATTGAATAAATTAAGTCAAGAATCTGGGATATGATAGATGATTGATACCTAAAAAACCAAGATTTAGATCTGTGCAGCTTTTCATTAATGCGTGATTTGGAAAAGTGTTTCACCCAAATTTATAGAGCTTTGTATGGAGATGCCATGTTGGTGCCCTTCTGAGCAGCACCAACATGGGGGCTTCAAAGTAATGGAAACATCTGTCATTGAATTTTACTACTGAAATGAAATATTATAATATTACTCTATCTAGTTCCGACACATTGAAAGTAATAATTCTTCTACTGCAAGAACTGTTCAGTTAGCAAAAACTTGAATGATAACTCCTCTTTTGACCTATGGAAAAGCCCTCTCGGGCCGCCATTTTAATGTCACGGAACGAAAAAACTTGGAAATTCAAATGTCCTCTATAACAAAATTTAATATGGAACCCTGTTGAGCTTAAACATTGTAAACCGCAAGTTCTTAGAGGGTCTTCTATCTGATGAAACTAAAACTTCTGAAGGAATTGTTATTTTTAATTTTGGAAGATCTCACATGAAAACCGGCAATAGACCTATGTAACAGACCCTCAATTGTTGATCAGTGGTTTCCCGTATGATTGATGAGAGCACGTTTAGAGTGCAGCATTATGTTGAAGACATGTTAGCTGACTTAAGGGAACCCCACCGATTTCTTTCTTTTTCTTTTTATCAAAGGGGGGAGATGTTGGTCAGCGGTTTCCTGTATGATTATTGAGAGCACGTTGTTGTAGTCCACCATGCTGGATCACGTAGCGAATAAAGTATAGTGCTCTTACCAGTGCTGGCCTCTAGACTCAATCAGGTGATCCTCAATTGCTGCCATCCCGTTTCTTAGCGCCAAGGAGTTTAAAAGTGTAAATGAGATTCTGTTTGTGGTGTTGATATAGCTCTAACAAGGCAATCTAAAGTTAAAGGAACAGGCTTTTTGGGTCCTGTTTGGGACTTAAACCACTTGGCTGAAGTTTTAAATGTAGATTATAGAAAATCTGTAACAGAGTGTAATGTAGGTTTATCTAATGGTACTTTAATAATTATTCTTTTTAGAGATGCCCTTGATGCCTTGGGGTTGAAGAGATACTGCTGTCGAAGAATGCTTCTATCACATGTGGACTTGATTGAAAAACTGTTAAATTATGCTCCCCTTGAAAAATAATCTGTTCTATGGTGTTGTTTCGTTGTAAGTCTGGCTGGAAGTTGTGATGATCAATGACAGCAGAAAGGGAGTTTTTCAGAAGGGCAGTCCATTTATCAAGATACTGGCTCTTGCTCTAAGTAGCTCTGGAATTCATCATGTAGTATTTTGTTAATAGTTTAATTCTCGACTGCTGAAATTTCTAAACTCAACCAATCACAAAGTAGAGAACCATGTTTGTAATTTATCAGCATAGTCTGACTTTCTTAACTCTTTACATGACAAAAACCAACTCAACATTGTAAGAAAGATCAATACACTGCAAATAAATAGTAAAGTTGCATTTCCTATACAGAAATATTTTACCAGTTCTAGGTCATATTGTAAGATTTGGTTGTGGATTACCGTAAATCCTCAAATTAGCGCCTAGGGCGCTTATTTCAAATTTAGGAGAAGACAGGGGCGCTTATTCGAGGGGGGTGC